TTTTTTTGCGTAAAATATATTAGAAATATCATAATATCTTTAAAAAAAATTATGATAATTATAAATGCATTAAAAGATAAGAATAAGTATAAAAGATATTATTATAACGTAATAATTAAGTTGACAATATAAAAAATTTAATATTATAAATAAAAATAATTATAAAACAAAAAAATGTTAATGTAAAAAAATAAGAGTAATTGTAAAATTAGAATCATCTGGTGTAAAGTATGTTAGATGTGTTGTAACGTAAAAAAGTAAGAATAATTGAAAAATTTGTGTCACTTGATATAAATTATATTAGAATTGTCATAATACCCTAATAAAAAGTTGTGATAAATTTAAATATAATAAAAAGTAAAAATAAGTGTAAGAAAATGTTATTGTAACATACATCATCTTTTTGGCAACGTAAAAGAATTATTATTATAAATAATTAATAATTTTAAACAAAAATAAGTGATAGCATAAAAAAATGTAAGAGTAATTGTAAAATTGATATTATTTGACATAAAATGGTTAGAAGTATCACAATATATTTAAGAAAAAAATTGTAATACTTCTAAGCGTAATGAAAAATAATAACAAGTGTAAAAAAATTTATTGTAACATAAATAATTAAGTTGATAGAACTATTATTACAAATAAAAAATAATTTTAAATAACAAGTTAAGAGTTAACATAAAATGGTGAGAATAATCGTTAAATTGATATAATCTAATTTAAAATGTGTTAAAAGAGTTATAATATAAAAGGTAAGAATACTCACAAAATTAGTATCATTTGGTTTAAAATAGATTAGAACTATTGTAACACTTTAACAAAGAGTTGTGATAAACATAATGAAATATAAAAACAAATGTAAAAAAAAATATTATTTTAACATAAATAATTAAGTTGATAATATAAAAGAATTATTATTATAAATAAAAAATAATTCAATCAAAAAATAACTGTTTACATAAAAAATGTGAATATAATTATAAATTTGTATTATTTGGTATAAGGTGTATTAAAAGTGTTGTAACATCTTAAAAAAAAGTTGTGATAATTCTAAACGTAATAAAATATAAAAACAAGTGTAAAAATATATTATTATAATGTAAATAATTAAATTGGTAATGTAAAAATTATTACTATTAATAAAAGGTAATTTCAAATAAAAAAATAAGTGTTAACATAAAAAAATAAAAAAATAAAAATAATCATAAATTTGAAATCATTTGATGTCATAATACCTTAAGAAAAAGTTATGATAATTTTAAATGAAACAAAAAGCAAAAAAAGCATAACAAAAAAATTAAAGTAAATAATTAATTTAATAATGTAAAAGAATTTATATTTTTAAATTAAAATAATCTAAGTAAAAAAATTGTTAACGTAAAAAGATGAAAATAATTTTAACATTCATATCATTATATGTAAAATGAGTTTTACATACCTTATACTAAAAATTTTTTTAATAATTCTAAATGTAATGATAAAAAAGTATAAAAATATATTATTAAATGTAATTAATTAAGTTGATTTTGTAAAATAAATTAATATTATAAAATTAAAAATATATAATTTTTTATTTGTTAAATTAATAAATTAAATAAAATTATGTATAATTTTTGTTAATGTTTACCTATTAATTTGTATAATTTTTTTAATATTTACTTGTTATCTTTTTTTTTAAGTTATATTATTCTTATAATTTATCATAATATATAATAAGATATTATGATATCTCATAACCTTAAACTAAAATCCATATATTATGATTTTACTATAAACAAACTTAGTTTAACCAATCGATCTAGGCTGGTCAGATTTTTTTTATGATATTTTGGCTTTTTTAAAGTCTTCGTACTTGTCTTTTGCAAATATATACGGTGCCCTAACAAGTTTAATTAGTAGTCAATTTTGCACAACTTTGACTCTAAAATTAACAAGGTTTTCATTAAAACAATAGGAGTTTTTGACCATTAATAGCAGCAAATTAATAAAGCCAATTGGTTAACAAAAGATAGAATACCCATATTTTAAAAACTCAATCATTTCATATTTTTAAAATTTTTTATTCATCCATAATATCTAAGCCTTATCTATTTAACTCATATGAAAATTATATTATGTGTTTAAATTCTTTTAAATCTATAATTTTCATGAACTTCGACCAAAAATATGTCATATAAGTTAATACTTATTAGCATTAACTAAATTGGGTCTTTTATTTGATAATATTCAATAAGAAATGCTTCAAAGTTTAAAACTATCTTTAACATGATAAAAAATCTTGGATTGATTCTCTTAAAAATAATTTATTGCGAAGTGTCCAAGGCTTATATCTTCTATACGGACAGATTCAAGATTTTTTCTTAGTGAGGCAAACTTGTTATGTAATATATTTACATAAAATTTCTTATTTAATGTGAATATAATATTTTTTTTAAATGTAAAACAAATTTTTAATTAAAAATTTGAAATATTTATTACAATATTAAATGTATAAAATGTTTAAATATGATTAACACAAATACAACAAAACTTATAATATTGAAAAAACCAAAAGTTTAAATATCAAATAAACATAAGCACAACAATTTTGTTATTTTTCAAATGAAAATAATACTCTATAATTTAGTTGAATAATTTTCATAATTAGAAAATGTATGAATTTTTTCATTGTTAATATTAAAACATATATAACTTTATTCGATTTTTTATATTTTCTCTAAAATTCATTTTCTCTTGTTAAAATATTTGTCTTTAATTAATTTAAATAAAATTATAATTTAATTTCTCTATAATTTATAAGGCATAAACAACATGCTACTTTCTCATATATATATATATATTAACTTTTTAATAATTTAAAATTTGATGCTAGTTTTTTTATAAAAAATTTTATTACATGTTATTAGATTATATTTCTACATAATTATTTTATACTAAATATGTATCATTAAAATTTTAAATAATATTAAATAAACACCCTACACATTATCAATATAAAAGAAAAACAACATGAGAGTGAAGTATTTTGATATGTTAAAAATGAATTTTTATAGCATGGGATTTTGGTTGTTGTTCTATTTCACCCATTATCTATATTTTACACTATAAGATTTTTGTAACTTTAATTTTTTTCTTTTTATTCCTTTTTTAACAAATATTTTTATACTTGATTTGGACAATTTTATATTAACATTAATGGGTATTTTACACAAGTTAAAAATATATGATATCTGCAAATGAAAAGAGAAACTTAAGTTAGGGAAGGTAAGGCCTACATAAAATAATTATTTATAATTCAAAATTTATTAATATTTACCCATAATACCCCATTTTTCTTTTAAAATAATGAGTCTAGTTTTCTACTAAGTACATCTATACTTTATAATAATAATTTTAAATCCCTCCCATTTATATTTTTTTCCTTTTCCCAATCTAGTGGGATAAAAAGTAAAAATATAAAAAAATTGTCTAATTTCATAATATACTTAATTTTTTTTTTTTTAAGATTTCAATGGAGTAGCTGCTTCCAATGTAATTCCGTCCATGATTTTGGACATCTCACTTGTAGTACCATTTTTTCACCCATTTGATGAGAAAATATGTATTATATAGTTTTTAAAATAACATTTATTAACTTTTTTTTCACTATGCTCAAAACAAAAGAATGAGAATTGAATAACATGTTTGTCTGTGAATTTTGATTAAATTAAAAATTTATATTTATGTAATTATATTGTTCAATATATTTTATGAAAAAATATATGTTTAAATTAATGACGATTAGATATTTTTTATTATACCCACGAGATTAGTCTGATTAATAAAAAAGTAATTTTTTTTCTAATTCATCAAAAATCAAGCAAAACCTTCGGATACCCAAAATTAATCTGATTAATAAGAAAGTAAATTTTTTCTAAACAATAGAAATCTAAACAAAACCTAAGAATACCCTTTTATCGCATTAAAAAATACATTTTTCTACTGCAATAAAGGCAAATTAAAATTTTATGTGTCCAAAAAATTAAAAAATTGAATTTTCTATACCTTTAACACTCTTACCTAAAATATGCACTATAAGTTGCAACTTGCAAGATTATCTCCAACGTCTAGGCCCTACCACTCTCTCTCCTTTTTATCATATGAAAATACCAAGTCAATTTTATAATTAATCATAACAATATATAATGGTCACAAGATTTTCCAAATTGCATTGCAAGATTCTTTTTTTCACTATTTCTCATTCTAAATTCACACATTAATTATATTACAAGATTCTTTTAACAAGTCCAACATTTCCCATTCTGAATTCACACATAAATTACCAAACAAGTCTTAATGTTATAGTAATGGAAAAAATTTTGAACCTACTCATTGTGTTATTTTGATCCAATTTTAAATATATGAAAAATTTTCATTTATATGTTGTTTTAAGTTTGTTTATTTGACTTGGTTTTACATTGACATAAAATAAAATATTTTTGAATTTTAATACAATTATAACCTATGCTATTAAAAAATTTTATAAAGTACAAAATTCAGACTAAATATCCATATTTTTATGGCCAAAAACCAACTATCCATATTTGAGAACTATTTTATTGTGGTTGTTATTCATGTACCAAAAAAATTCAAATATAAGTTAATACAATTATAAGAATATTAAGACTTCAAATAAAAGTTTTTTTTTTTCTAATAATACTTTTTTAATAAAATAAAATTTTTTTAAAATATATTGATAATGAAAAATTTTAATTTTACATATGCGATGAAAAGATTATTGTATATCTTATTTTTTTAATTATTTTATTATATTCTAAAAATATGTTTCATTTGAGTCAAATTTCTAAATTACACCTATCGGAGGATCACATTTCTATGAAGATATAAATTAAATAATTCATAATAAACTGTGATTTTTTTTTTTTTTGTAGAGAAACAATATTTTTTTTAATTTAATTTTATAATGAAGTATTTGGAATTTTGGATGGATCCCACCACCCACCACCCTGCATTAACTCTAACAAAACAAAACAAAGCAGACAAAAGCAAAGAAAAGAAGCCTCTTTCGCTTAATTTCCGCGCTTTCGTAGCTTTTCTCGCCAAACAAAACTTTCAAACGCAAAACGAAACTCTCTTTTCTCTTTTATATTTTCCCAAAATTCGGAGCTTTCATAGCTTCCCTGTCCCTCTCCACTTTTCCCCCTTAAAAAAAAAAAAAACCAATAAAAAATCTCTCTCTTATCACTTCTCTCAGCTCAATTTCCATCAAGGTTATTTTTGTATCAGTTTAAGATGTTTTAATTGTTTCCTTTTGGTATTATCTAAATTGGGTGTTTTTCTTTTTTTCAATCCATGCATGTTTTGGACCAAATTCTGTGCTTTAATATTTTTTGGCTTTTATTTGGGATGATCTAGAATGGGTTTCTTATATTTGATTGATCCATGCTTGTTTCTGGGTTGATCTTTTGCTTTTTGATGGATTTTTTTGGCATTGATTTTGCTGAAAACTTGAATCTTCTAATGGCTTAGTGTTATTTTTTTTTCTCTCCGTTGAGTACAAGCAAGAATTAAATTTTCGCTGTAATCCTTGATTCCCAAATTAATTCTTGATTATTTTGTTGGTATATTTATTTCTTAATATTAAAGGAAAGAACCCTTTTGCTAATTATTAACAAAGCCTTAATGATTTTCACTTTCGTAAGAAAGAAAAATGGACAATTGGACAAGCAATTCTTTAAAAGGATATCTTTTTTCTTTTACGTCAAAAGGAAAACTATTGGCTTTTTACCAGTGGCATTGTAAACTAGCTATGAGGATTGTTTTGTTGACTCAATTTGGTTTATTTTATCCACAAAATGGACTCACAGTTTTTTAATTTTCATTTTGCAGCTGAAGAAAGAGCTATTAAGCTAAATTATACAGAGGCATTCAACATTTTGTAAATAGAAGAGAGAGGGGGTACTGGTTCGTGGAGGTGGTGGGACTTCTGCGGGCTTAGCGTCCTCTCTCATTGTCTTTTTTAGCTTCGAGAGCTTTGTTCTTGATGCATATGTATTATTACAACGTTGAGCTTATTGATGAGGTTGTGTAGAGAGTTTTAACTGAAAGGGAAATCCTAAAAGTTATATTATGGGTTCTGTTTGTTGCTGCTTGCATGCTGAGGATTTTGAGGACTATATGAATCCAAACAGTAATGTATATAGAAACTGTGTGTGCCTTAGTTGCTTCGTTCAGAATTTCCTACACGTGGTATGTTTTCTGATTCTTGGTAATAAGCATTGTTTTGGACTCTAGTATTATTCCTTCAAATCACATGATTTTCATGTCTCACTTGAGGTTATAAAAATGGTTGTTCTATTGAATATTTCTTTCGTGACACTTTTATGTCGTCAAAAGTTAGACTTGTCTTTGGAAATTTAACTCTTTTATCTTTTCTCTGCGTGGCACATTTGGGTGGCATTAGTGAATCGTTTTCCCAATGATTTTGTTTAGAGCATTGGGCTAATTATACTAAAGATCATCTCTACTATTAATGCAAGCAAGGTCCTTTATGAACTCTTATACTCAGTCCCATGCTTATGTATTTTCGGAAGCCTTGACAGAGGGTCATGGAGGGACAAGGATTGGTGCAGGAAATAATGCTGAAATAATGTAATATAGGTTGCAGTGGCTAATATATTGACAAATTTTGCTTAGTCAGGAAAAAATCCTATATGGTCATATGATGTGCTTGGGGCTGTTGTAAGCTACTTACATGTTTATGCAATGAGCTAGAATAAGTTAATTAATGTGTAAGTGTCTAAAAGCTGTTTTGTTTAAGGAATCCGTATGAGCAAGTGAAAACTTCTTATAGTGTCCACACCCTAGTTCTCAATCTACGAAATTCCATCAGCATTTACCTATATTGGCTTTTAGTTGAACAGATATCTACTGAAGTCAATTATGGACCATTAAGTACTAATCTAATATCACTTTTTGTTTACACTATGAAGCATGTGTTTCATTAATAGCAGGGTCGAGGAAGTTAACCTGAATTGTGTTTGATGTTACATGTCTCAGAATTGATCAGAAAATGTTTATCTTAAATTATTTCAGTTATGGAGTTCTAGATTTTTATCCTTCTGTTTTTTCTTTTGTCCCTATAATTATAGTATACCACATTATTCCGAAGAGGGGAATTGCATTCTGTCCCTTCATCCATTCAGGGGACGGCATCTATGAACTCTTCTACATCACTAGGCAACTCACTTTCTGACATGTACCGTTCTCCTCCAAGGCCCTTGCCTTATGATGCTGACACCAGATATTTCCGCTTAGAACGTGATGTTCTTGTTTCAAGACATGAGAAGGGTTCAAGTCATTCACAAGAGGAATCAGAGCCTTTAAGAGGTGAAGATAATGCAGATTCTGAATCTTTGAGTACGGGAGACAAATGGAATGCTTGTGAACAAGGCTCAAAAGAGCAACATTCTAAATCCTCGCAAAAACTCTCATCAGCAAAAGCACCGGTTGGAATTGGGTATATCTATTCATCAGCAGAAGAGGAGGATGTCTGTCCAACATGTCTTGAAGGTAATCTTTGTTGACAATAATGATGTTGTAGTCACTATATTATGCTGTGAAATTGTTACTGGAGATCCTTGCTAATTTGCTATGATGCTGCAATGGTGGTCTTGGCATGAATCAATACTACTTTGGACTCTTAACCACTTGTGTATTTTTTTTTTTATGAACCTGGCAGGGTATTCAGTTAAATTATCAGGCGTTTTGGTCCAAACCTCCAACATCATTCATTTGTATGATTGTGTGTGGTTTTGTGTTTACACTTTCTTGAATCAAAATTAGAAATTTTTCTCACCTCAAGATTATTTAAGAACAGATTCTTTACTTCAAAACAAGAAAAAAGAACGATGGATACTTGTTGCCTTAATAGTTTTGAGGAATATTAGGGCTATGTTCCTCTGCCATTGGATGTTTGTGGCACTCAGCAATGTAAATTAGAATCTCTCACTTTTCATGTGATCAAAGTTAAATGCATGCCACTATTGACTTGCTTATTCCTCTTTCCCCAACAACAAGGTTTCCTCAGTGACTGGATGAATTGACCAAGCTTTGCTAGAATTTAGGGAGGAAGGATGCATTGAAATGTAAATTTCTGCTATATCTTGCTTCTCTAACCTGGATGCTTCACCTTTAATTGGGCCAGATTATAGTGATTGACTAGTAAGAAACCTTGATTTAATTGGGGAACTTACAATCAATGCATGGTTTTATACTATGTCATTTGTATCAGAAACAATCAGTCAATCACTGCTATCAGAAATTGATAATATTATGAATCATATTAGGTTGGGCTTTTAATAGATTTTTTTAATCTTCTTTTTAAATTGATATTTTTCATGTGCAGAATATACTCCAGAGAATCCCAAGATAGTAACAAAATGTTCCCACCATTTCCATCTTGGTTGCATTTATGAATGGATGGAGAGAAGTGAAAACTGTCCAGTCTGTGGAAAGGTAACTTGTTTGCACTAGTTAGCTTTTCCAATTCCATGATAATAAATAATCCATCAACAGCCATGTTGTTTACATTTTATCCTCTTTGATCAGCTGTTGCTTTTCTTTTGGGACTTCCAATTTACTAGGATGTTCAAGGCTTCATGGTTTACAACCATTAGCATTTTAACTTGCCTTTGATATATTTTCAAAGTCCTTGTCTTGCTATCTCCTTTTACTAATATCTGTATAACCATTGTGCTTAAAGTCCACAAGTTCTTATTGGTTTGTTTACTAACACTCACGTACATTAATGGTTGTATTGTAGTATATGTAGCTTTTCAATGAGTTCTCGTTTAATGGATTTGACATGCTTAGATGTTTAATGACAATATCATTTCTTCTTTTCTTGGATGAAATTCTTACTCTTGTTTGGTTGTAACAACAGTGATGGAAAGAAAAGCTAGTTGGTAAAATTAACTGTCAAGGAAACTACAGAAATTTAAGTTCCTATCTTGTTTTCATGATTCTTACATTTTCTGCTTATTTGAAGTGATAATCTAAGTTATCCTCGAAGTGTCAATGACACTCTTTGGTCAGAACTTTGACTCAAAAGATTGGTTTGTAGATAATTTAGTCATGAAGCAAGTAGAAGTAGATAAAAGAAAAATAAAAATGAGAACATAACAAACAAATTGTTGATAGTAAGATGAGTTTGTCCTTTCCAGCTTCAACGAACTACTTAGCACTCTATAGGGTGCTTATCCAAAAACAAGCCCCTGGTGGTTTCCAGGTCAAACAATTATTTCGTTGTTGGTACTAGTTATCTGTGCGGTCTTCTTGGTTTCCTATCTTCTTTATCTGTTTCTACTGCCAATCTTGATGTCTTCAATAACTAATTTTTTGAACATGTATACGCATTTAGGCTCAAAAAATGATATTGCTTGGTGAGCCTTGTGGTTTAGATGATATTCTTTGATATATATGTATATATTTACGAGCAGCAGAAATGTTGAAATTTGTCATAACAAAAAATGAATGGGAAGAATTGTTATTAACTGGATGTTGATTATGTAGATATACGAGGTATTGCAGGGATTATTGGACTTTGAATTAGGTCAGTAATTGGTCAGCGTGCATGTTAAGGCCAGAAAGCAAAGTTGCTATCAAGCCTGATAATATTCACTTCTTATTTCCCTCTTCTTTCCTCGACTTGTCAAATAATTCGAGTTCCACATAATAATAATAAAAGGATTGGTGGTGTGGGAGGGGGGGTGTCTTTTGTGTTCCATCTCTGCTTGCTTCTCTCAATGCATGCAAGGACTGTAAATTTCGATGCCTTATTGTTGGTTAGGTGGCAGGAAATAATTTAAACACTGTGCTATTATATGGAGTTTAAAGATCATTTTGGGAAACTCCAGCATTTATTTTATTCCCTGAATATTTTTGGCTCGCTTTTCTCTTTTTGGAATTTACCAGTTGTTAGTCTAGTTGCTTTGACATTTTATCTACTGATGATGAATTTGTACTTTCAAAGCTTTATATTGAGTATAATACATTAGAAATGAAAAAAGTTGTCTATGTATACTCTATTGATACCTAAACTTTTCTCATCTCAATTTGGTATTTGTTTTGTTTGCTTTTTCAGGTTATGGTATTCGATGAAACGACTTAATCTTGCTTGAAAGGTTTTGTTGTGGATGAAAACCAGCAAACAACAGAAGACATAGAACCAAAAAAAGACATCTAAATTTGATCGTGAATACTGCAGGATAAAGTGTTTGTCACATACTGTAAATAAGCAAAATGTTCTGTGTAAAGATTGTAAGTTCATTCTCTTTGTAACCTTTTAAGTGGGCAAAAAGAAATCATGCATGATTGTTGGAAGTCTCACTAAAGTTCTGAGAATAGTTTCTTTATCAATGGGAAGAAGTGTGGATCTGAGGAAGCTATGATGTATCCCAAAATTTTCATTCATGATTACTTTGGTATTTTATATGCCTGGTTAAGATTAATGTAGGAAATAAGGAGGTAGAGAAGAAAGAGATGTTAAGATTTAAAGAGGATTACTTCTCCCCATGAGCATAGTTTCCCTGGTGGAATTGTTACTCTGTCAAATCAAGAGAAATGACATTGTCATTTCTTCCACATATACTGTCCTTAATGTTCAAAGATTCCTTATTCTGGAACTTGAAGTTTAGTCATTTTTTAGAAATGATATTTATGGGTTTAAGATTTAAATTTTTTCACTTGTAATTTAAAAAAAAAAAAAACAAAAGATACTTCAGGACCATTTCCTCTTACGATATTGTTACTTTGCGGGCAATGGTTTGCCATTTAATGTAGGAAAGAACTAAGAAGGCATTCTATCCTTTCCTTCCAAATGCAGATTGTGATAATTTCGGCAGTTAGATATGAAATAGATAAGGTCCTGGCAGTTAGATATGAAATAGATAAGGTCCGGTTTGGCATCACGAAATCAGCTAGAAGAAGATATTAGAGTGTATTTCAGAGTTCAATGAAAATGTTGTTCAGTAGATGTACAGATTAGTAGGAAAAATCATATGCTCTCAGCGGCAGTTTCTCTTAATTATTTGCTCTGATCCAGAAGAATTGGGATTAAAGTTATCCATGGTGGAGTATCTGAGGCGACTAGTTTATATTTAAAGAAAAAAAATGGACGGAGCTCCCTTGACAAATCATTCCCCATCACAAATGATACAATCTATTAAGAACATAAAGTATGGGAACAACCTGTTTGAGAAATATACAAACTGTTTTGGTATGTTATTGTGCTCAGGAACTTGACAGGTCCATAGCAATTGCACCATGTATATCCAACCTTGATTGTGTACGAATAGAACAAAGTCTACTGACATATATTTTGCCTAAATACTCTCCTGATTTATGTATGTAAGCATAAACTTTCATATTTTTTAACTAATAAATAAAATCCATAAACACCTACAATGAAATTGAGTTTGTTAAAAATCCACTTTATTGCTTCTTTATCAGGTCAAAGTCTGAGGCAATGTCATTTTGCCGCCACTTTAAAAGCTCTCACGAACACTTCAGGTGGTTGGCCACCACTCAACTGGTGCTTCCCGTTTATCTGCCAAAAAGAAGAGCTTTAATCTATGGATATGGAACTCAATTTTTATCAAGCCAAACATTTAAGTTAACAGATGTGATTTTTTCACCAACCGTGTAATTTGGGACTCCAGAAATGTTTGCAGAGTACTTCTCCAGCTCCTCATTAACCTTCATTAGTCAGAAAATGAAACCTCAGTTAGCTATAAAACATGTCAGAAGACAACTTGGGTTGATCTAGAAGCTGATGAGATTATGAAGGAATGTACCATGGAATCTTAGAAATGAAAGCAATGGGATTCTTTCCCCAGATTTTTCTATCTGTTACTCTATTGGATGAGAAAAGTGGTAGTATGGAACAGAGTACAAACCTCTTTGACTCCATTATTAGGATTTTCAAGAAACTCTGCTGCTCCTTCAACTCCAACCTTCCTAGCGGATTCCAGAAGAAACTCCCTGCATCCAATCAGATTGTCAGTGCAATCAAATAGGGGATGTGAACCACGCAACCACAAAATCCAATATAACAAGCTTGCATGCTTAACTTCTGAAGTTTTATTCTTCATGTTGCCAGCCAAGATGTTTGGAATTTGTCCAATGATATTACAACACCTCAATGCAATGCAAGATCAATGGTTGGTGAACCCTCCCTTGATTTCTATTATGCTTTTCATTTGATAAGCAACTTTTTTCAAACTGGTTGACAGTTTGAAATTTGATGAATTGATTACTATTTGCAAAACAGCAATGAGAAAGTTTTTTGAACATGTAATACCAGAAGGCCTGCCTTGAGAGCAGGCAGCACCGTGGGGATGGAGTGTATGATGAGAACATGGCATATTGAAACTCTCAAGAGAATTATACTTTCAATCATTCACTCCAATTGTGAAAAAAGATCATGAAGCTTATTTGAAATCAACTAAAGACTGAACATTTTTTGTAGCCTTTTAGGCATGAATTATGCATACCGATCACCAATGTATTTTCCCTTGGTGAAGTAGCCTACATAAAGCTCCTCCACAAGATTATGCTGCTTATCAAGACCTTGTTTTCCAGCAAAATAGATCAGCCTGTGACTATCAAGGGTATTTCCCCTGTACATATCCAAGTCAATGTTAGGGCATATCTATTGACATTGCCCCTTTGCATTCTGAGCTGTTTCTCGTAAAACAAAATGGTGAAACAATAAGCCAAACTTACGTGAGTCCAGACATGTCATATTCCAATCCAAGATTCCTAAAAAGCTGCAATTGGAGTGGCCACAACGAGTCAGGCAGTGAGCAACAAACTTGAAGGCAAGGCAAATCAAATCATAGCAATAGGAAGTTCAAAGAATGATAGTAAGACCTCAGTCATCCGAGCTAGAATTCCTTGAGCTCGAGACCCAAGCTTCCTCTCATAGTATTCTCTTTTATTAACTCCTTCCTTTGGTGCAGAAGGATCAAGGAAAAATGCATGCCATTTAATCTGCAAAAAAAATCATAGATATGAACAATATGCATTACATAAGCACTCTTGTTTGTGCATGTTTAGGGACCTCAAAATCAAATTGATCCTTGGATTCAGCAATAGCTTTGTCCAGGTTTCTTTTGCCCACAAAGCACCAGGGGCAAACACTGTCTGAACTGACATCAATTCGAATGAGCTTCTTTCTAGTGTTGCTACCAGTACCAGATGACTGAGCCATTTTCGTCCTTATATGCTGTCTTTCTACAAAAAGATAGCAGGTAAAGCTCCAAATCAGCAATCAAACCCAAAAAAAATAGAAAAAAAAAACCAAATAGCTAGAGATGTCTCCTTTGATGCAATCATATATATATAAATATCATCTTCACTCATCCCTTGAATTCTAAATTATCTGATCATTTGATTTCCAGGACCATTCCATAAACTTAATCAAGAAAAAATTAACTGTACGCATAAACTTCAAATTTAATAAGAATATCTACTCCCTAATGCATAAATATCAAATCTCATATAATCTATTTCAAAAAGAAAAATCTCATATAATTCAGACCTGTTTGTTAGCTGATCACAAATTCTAACCCATTTTATTCTGGCAATGAATATTTCTTATCTAAAAAATTGATCAACAGTACGCATGTTACTTCCCCGGTCCAGTGATCCCTCATTTTAATCCTTGTCACTTGTTATACCCCAATCAATGCCTTGACTGCCAAATCAGCACCAGTCAACTGTCAGATAAGCAATCAACGACGTCAACACCAATTAAGCGTTACGCAAAACCAACAGTTAGTCAACAACAATCCAACTAACTACTGACCACGTCAGCACCAATCCACTTTATAAAAGGTAAGGTCGGGACACATGTACCTCATTTTAACCCCTTCTATTCACTCTCGCTCTCACTTTCTTCAACCTTCTTCTTCCCTCATCATTCCTTACTTGCTACATCTTGCTGACTTGAGCATTGGAACAAGTCCCGGAGTCCTACCTCCGGCGCCCCCTAAACATTCCTCCTCCTACAAGTCATTCCAAACTCCTAGACAGCTTCCCAGTAAGATTTCGGCAAACTCACCCCACCTACTCTCCTCCCCTATTTCTCTTCCCATCCTTTCCCATGCTTACTGTCTTATCTAACCTCAATTGCTCAGGAAACGAGGTAGACATTGAGGAATACCATAAAAAAATGATTCTCCTCTTCTCTGAAACACATAGATTAGACTTGCACATCTTCAATTTGAGGAAATTCAAATTAAGAAAGAAGAACTAACTTGGATATAATAGTTCTGCACTTTCACCTATTGAAATCTCATTAGTCAAACGGCTGCATTTCTTAACAGCCAAAAAGTTTTACCCCCCATATTAAATTGGACATGTTACAGACAGTGCTTAACCACAAAATGAAGAACAACATCATGTAATCTGTAAAATGCATCTAAAATACTTTGAAGCAAAGCAATTAAGAGAAATCAATACCAAATCCTTTGTCATTTCCGAAATTTTCACATACAAACCTTACCAAATTTACAAATACTAAATTTTTCTTAAATATCAACAACCTTTTCCACTTCTCACATATCCAAGAAAAAGTAACTTTAACATTAGATTTCATTTTCAAGATCATCATGATAATTTAATGAGATGATTTTATTATTAAAGTGATTTTATCAACCACAATTTGAAATCATATTATTTATTAATAATAATTAATTTTTAATAATTAAATATCAATGTATTTAATATTATTAAAAATCAAATATTATCTTATTTAAAAGTTTCAAAATAACAATGCATATCATAATATCACTTAATTGATAAAAATTTTCTATCATTTTGGATGTGAATTAAATCACCCTTTAAGGTAATAATTTAATCATTTTTGCATGATAAGTTAAGATTACCACCACATAAAATCATCAAATATTTATTAAGTATAATGATAATCATCATATGTAAATTACCATGACTTTTAGGATGACCATTCCGTACCAAACAGGCAAACACCACAAACATCAATTTTGCAAACTCGGGTGCATCTTATTTCACCAAAAGATCCAAATGAAAAGCATGACCACAATGAGAAAAGTTACATTTGCAAAACAAACAGAAATCTTCCAAGCTAAAGTGGTCACTGTTACCATTAGAAATTAAAGCTTGATCAACTTTATGGCATATATATATATATATATATATATATATATAAAGGGTATAAGCAAAAATGAAGAAATGAAATAATTTAAGGAATTAAAATATACTAATTGGAAACTAATAAGAATGGTGAAGGTGGGAACTGGGATTTTGTTTTGTAAGAGAAATAGTTACCTGAAAAAAGGGAAACTGAAGCTCTTCCAAACAGCAACTAAACGCATTGGATGTTGGAAATTGGACGAAATAAAGTTCATATATATCAAGACAATGTTGGACTTTTTCTTGTCAAAGTTTCAATCTTTCATAATCACCTACCACCAAAGATAAAAGACTTGCTACTTTTCAACTTGTATTCTATGGTTTTTTTTAGTCTACATGATTAATGGGAAAGGATACTTGTATTCTATGGCTAATTTTGAAATTTGAAATTTTTTTTTAAATATAGTAAACATACCAATAAATTAAAAATTTAAACGCCCATCAATCACATTGATCAATTTTTTTTTTACACATGAGGTTATAGCACGAGAATAAAAAAAAATTATAAATATTAAATTTAAATTTAAAATTATTAAATATTATCACATAAAAATAATTATATAAATTAGTTAAATTAAGCTCCAAATTCAAAATGGATCAAGTTTAATAGATTTTAAGTGATATATAAAACTGATTCACATGCATAATGTGATTTATGTGAATGTTTGAAATGAAGGATATCAATTTTTATTTTATTGTAATTGAAATCTTATAATTGAAATTCAATTTTTTGTTTAAATTTTTTAAAGGAATGATTTAATTTGTAAAAATATTTATTTAAATATATTTGGATAAATTAAATGATAAATATTTTAAAAATATTATTTTAAAATTTTGTTAATTGGATATTTTTTATCTAATTTTAAGATTTAATGAGTAAGTAATATAAAAATTTATAATCTTAATTTTATGCAATAAAATTCAGGATTTTTTTTTTGCATTTTGAAATAAATTTTGAAGGTTCATTTACGTATTAAACCAATTTTTTAAAAATAATGCGTAATTGGCTGCCAGCTAAAAATATTATTATGACTCATTTTTAATATAATATTATAAAAAATCAGTTTATTTCTGAAATGACTCAATTTCTTGAATATTAAAAAGATAAAAAGGTATGCATAAAATTATGAAATCGCTCCTTTTCATGAATATAAAAAAAATCATTTTCATTTTACGTCTCTTCACAATTTTTTTTTTCCTTCTAACGGCTCAAATTAACAAATTTACTTAGAATCAAACACAAAAATTGAATAATTATCAAGAAATATCTCCGAAGGAAAATTTAGAGCATACTGTTTTATTTTAAAAAGGGTATTTATTCGTAAAATTTATAATATTATTTAAAATTTTTCACAAAACAATAAACTTAATAAAAAAAAAGCAAAAATGAAAAAAAAATTTGCATTCGATTTCTTCTATCTAGAAGATTTCTAGTGCTGACGTAAGGCATTACCTAGAATTTTTTTTTTTAGACGTTTATTTTGGTCTAGAAAATTCGGGTCCTTTATAGTTTTCAAACCCGATCTGATCCGACCTGACTCCCAAGTTCCCGGAACATCTACGGCTTTGCCTTCGCCTTTTTTTTTTGTCTTGTAATAAAATCTCAATTTACTAACTGTCTTTTTTTTTTTTTTTTTTTCTGTTTTCTAGAAGAGATTGAATTCTTATTTCATTCTCAGAATCGAGGTACGTTATTCAAACTTTTGTCGAATTCATTGTCTCATTTCTTTTGAATTCAAGGAATGCATTCTCGAATTATAATGAGAAAATTTGATTCTAAAAGAAAAAAAATTTAGAACTTTTTCTTTTTAAATTTTTCCTTTACTTTCCTGCATTTTCCTATCAACCAAACACATATAATGTCATTAATTTTTACCTTATTAATTGAAAAGAAATTGATTTTTCATCTGGGTTTTTGTTGACTTTCTCTGAAATTACATTTAATATAAGGATTAGTATTAACAGCCAAATAAATATTCCTTAATCATTGCGAAAACCTTATAGTTTCTATAGAGGTTTTGATTTAATGTCAATATATATAAATATATATATATATGTCTGTATGAATGTATGTGTTTGGTTTTTGTAAATTTTCAAGAAAATTCTTAAAAACAAAACCATACTTTTTTTTTTTATAAAATTTTCCTTTCCTTCATTTTCGCACCTACCAAACACAAGGAGTGTCATTAACCTCATTAATTGGAAAAAGCTTAAAATTTTGAATTTACAGAAATTACATATCATAAAAAATTACTAAAACCAACCTCATGATTCTTCCTTAATCTTTGCAGAACCTTGAATTTTTGGCAAATGTCGTGAACTTATCTCATTGTTATATATGTATTTGCCTGCAAATAGATGGATATTGATTCGATTATTGGTGAAACAATGAGCCGTTCTGTGAATATTCCAACAAAGAGTGCAATTTATGTTTGGGGATATAATCATAGTGGCCAGACTGGTAGGAGAGGGAAAGAGCAACAATTGAGGATCCCGAAACAGCTATCTCCAGAGCTTTTTGGGTGTCCGGCGGGGGCTAATGCCCGTTGGTTGGATATTGCTTGTGGCCGTGAGCATACTGCCGCTGTGGCCTCAGATGGTTCATTATTCACTTGGGGTTTGTTTTTTTACTCAAATGAGCAATCTTTATATCTGTTTTGTTGTTTTCTTTTTAATTTTGAAGATGATGTGTTTTCTCGTTATTTGTCTTGCTATTTGAATTCTGTTGTCGATGGCTAGAAATTGTGGTGGATATTGGGAATGGTTTGTTTGTTGTATTAGTTTGTTACTTTGATATGATTCTATTGGTTTTTGGCCTCGAATTGGGTTTCTTTTCACTTGGAGTTTGTTCTTTCATTTAATAAATCCCTTTTAACTTTTTCTTTTGTCATTCTAGTTTGAGGATTATGGTATCTTGGTGTTTTCTGACTGATTGTATCAATGTCACTACTTAATTTCTGTTGCTGATGGCTGGAATTTGTTGAGGACCAATGATGTATTTCTTCTGTTGTTTGGTTTCCTTTCAGGTGATTCAGTTGTTTGTGTTGCTTGAATTATATTATTAATAGCTTAATTTGATTGTGGACCTTCTCCTTGTTGATGAGAATTTATCTTTGGTATGAATAGCCATACAGGACATTCTGTCATTGGTGTGGATTATTTTGAAAGTTAATGTGTGAAGGTGTTATGCTACTTACAATTGGAAAGATATATGAAGTTGTCTTTGGAAGAGATGTGGCTTTTATTATTGTTTTTGTATTTTCATATCAGGGAAAATAAGAATTATATTTTGATGCATCTTTCCAGGTGCTAATGAGTTTGGTCAACTGGGAGATGGCACTGAAGAGGGGAGGAAACACCCAAAGAAAGTAAAACAATTGCAGACAGAGTTCGTGAAATTTGTATCTTGTGGGGCACATTGCACTGCTGCTATTGCAGAACCTCGTGAAAATGATGGGACCATCTCAACAAGCAGACTCTGGATTTGGGGACAAAATCAGGTAGTGCAATTTACATTTATAGAATCATTGATTCTTTTTGAGATTTTTAATCGATATTAATCTCTCTTTCCAATTACTTTTCCACTTCTGCTTACAGGGATCAAATATACCTCGTTTATTTTGGGGTGCCTTCACTCCTAACACGGTATTGTCCTCATCTCCTGATGTCCCCAACCCAAGAGATGTTCAAATATTCTCCTGGGTTGTCTAGCTCATGATCTAGCAGAGAAATAAACTGACTTTTCCGGTCGATTTTCAGGCCGGCAAGTTGTTGCTTCAATCAGTCTATTAACTTAACCACACATGGAGAAACTCCGCTTTGATGACACACATGCACAAATAAAAGAGAAACAAAGACCCAACTATATTACTACTTCATTAACTTCAATTCAATTCTGTAACATGGAGTTTGCAGTTCTTTTTTTCAGTTACTATTTGAAACAAATATATTGTAGCTTGTAGCTTTTCCATTTAACTTGCTGCTTAAGTGGCCTTCTCTTTGATCATCCTTTATTAATTGTGTCTCTTATTGAATTTACCAAAATTTTCCATTGTTATTTTGTTTGAATGATCTTTCTCCACTCATATTGTCATTATGATTTATAACCAAGAATCAGGTGCTCTGTAACTGTTTCTTGAATGCTTTATTATATGAGATTAATAGGCATTTGATTTATTACAGATCATCCGTCAAGTGTCCTGTGGAGCAGCTCATACAGTTGCTTTATCTGAGGAAGGCCTACTGCAGGCTTGGGGTAAGGCTTGCTACTTCACTTTATCATGATTTATTTCCTGATTACAGGTTGTAAATATATTCATAGTTTATTTCTAACAGTTATTGTGCCTATACACTTCATTCTAGACAGAACCAAGATCTAGGAACGGAAACTTAAGAACTCATGCTAGTTTCCTACCACCTATTAATTGATATTTATCACTGTTCTGATAAACCAGGCTATAATGAGTATGGTCAGCTTGGCAGAGGCGTTACTTCTGAAGGATTACAGGGGGCTCGTGTGATAAGTACATATGCGAAATTCCTTGATGAAGCTCCTGAGCTTGTGAAGATCACCCAAGTGTCATGTGGGGAGTACCACACTGCAGCTATTTCTGAAAAAGGCGAGGTGTAAGTTATCCAAAGGACTTACTAGATGGAGATAAGATCTGCGTTTAAGTATAAAAATTGTGGTTATCCACATCACTTGGGTTATGGCAGCTTCAATTGGAGAGGAATTGTGGATTTGGAAGGGTGCACATGCTTGTAAGATAGAAGAAAAATGTTTGATTTTAGTCCACTCCTTAATTTTGGTTTTTGAGAGAAAGAAAGGAATAGAAGAGCTTTTGAGGGAATAGAGTTACCATTATCAAAGCTCTTCAATACTTATCTTTAATTTATATATTTTTGGTTTAAAAAGTTCTAGGCCTTACCAGATCTACTATCTTTTATTGATTTTATTTTTCACTTACCAAGAAAAAAAAAAAGAGAAGAGGGGTGGGGGGGGGGGGGGGAGGAGAAGAAGATAATTGTGGTTATCTGCATGACACAAGTTAGTTACTTGGTATGAGGATTTGGATATATTTTCTTCTGCGAAACTCACATCTAGTCTGGAGATGGGATGCAACAGAAATGGGATGAATGAATTCTGATATACAAGTCTCTGTTCCCTCACTTTGGTTATACCATGAAAAGAGGGGTCATATTTTCATGAAAGAATAAAAGATTTCTTACTCACTCTATGAATTCTCGCTCTCAATGTATGAAGCTCATTTTCATGCATTTTGCAATTATGGTAGTCTATAATTTTTAGAGACATCTGATTCTTGAGTTTCATGTTAGCTAGGTTTTATTGGAGCTTGGTATCTCCACATTAGTTATCTTTTATGCTTTGATTATCAAAACTAGGCTTGATGATAAAATGTTTGTGTAGGTTGTTTATATTAAATAGCATAATGCTTATATATACTAACATTTTCCAAGTTGTTACCAAATGATTGTTGTCATTATACATCAGTTCCTTGAGAAATGCTACTATTCTTAATGGTGTTCTTAGGATTTAAATGTTCATGCATGTTTCAATGTGCAACATGCATACGTGCATTATCTTTAATGTATGTTACCATTCACTCCTGTGCTATATCAACACATAAATTATTCATCATGTTTCATGTTTCAAAGATTTATGTGGTTAATATTTCAAAATGCAATCTCAGATTAAGATTTTCACCCTTATCAACACAGATTTTATTAGTGATGAGTATCCATTTTGTCTATTACAGCTATACTTGGGGTCTAGGAAATATGGGTCAACTTGGGCACAGTTCCCTTCAATCTGGTGATAAAGAGTTATTGCCAAGGAGAGTAGTTTCTCTTGATGGAATATGCATAAAGGATGTTGCTTGTGGTGGGGTACATGCTTGTGCTTTGACTTCACAGGGAGCGCTCTATGCCTGGGGTGGTGGTCAAGTGGGACAGCTAGGCCTTGGACCTCAGACACGAATTTTTTCATGTGACCCTAGTGATTCATTCTTTCGTAATATCCCTGCTTTGGTTGTCCCCGCTGGTGTCCAGCTAATTGCTTGTGGACATTCTCACACACTCATATGTATGAAAGATGGAAGGATTCATGGATGGGGTTACAATAGTTATGGTCAGGCAGCTAATCAGAATTCTATTTATGCGTGGTATCCTTCACCAGTTGATTGGTATGCATAGCCAAATTGTTGTGTGATAGATTTTGCAACATTTTGTGGTTTTTGTTTTGATGACAATACTAATTGTAGGTGTGTTGGTGAAGTGCGAAAACTAGCAGCTGGTGGTGGTCATTCTGCTGTATTGACTGATGCATGTTCCTTGAAAGAACTTTGTGAGTTTAGGCTTGCAGATAATGTGACCTTATCAAATGCTGCAGAGATTGAGGATGTTGCATCTCGAACAGGATCAGATGCTTTAGCACGTCTTTGTGGGAGACTGAGGTAGCTGTTCCCTTTTTTGGCTTCATTCATAGGATTTCATGTCTGATACTTTTTCTTTATTCAATTTTTTGAGCAGCGAATGATTTCTACCTTAGGGCTCCCTGTTAGAATTTTCCACTTGATGTGATACTATTGGAGGATAGTCAATTTTCATACGCATTGTCTGCTTTATCTTATTGTTTTTCGTTTATTCTCTTCCTTTGCCATGTTATTCTTTGATGAATGAAATGTCAGTCTGTTCTTTGTATCTGCAGGGAACATTTTCTTCATGGTGGTGATTGCGATTATCAAGATGACGACAGCAATCTCAAGAATTGATTACAAAATCAATAGGTCACTATGAATTTCCTGTTGTGTCCTTCGTTACCAATCTCAGTAGAATTGTAGGATGAGAAATGTGTTAATTACTTATATGATGAAAGCCGAGCAAGGCTTTGCTTTCAAATTATTATTAATACCAAAATCCATTCTATTGGTTGATGGCCAAGTTGGTAAGAACAGTTAAACCAAGCAATGACATCAAATGACAAACTTGTTTCTATGACTTTGTAGAACATGAAAGTTGCATGGCTTTAAACTTGAAAGCCAGCTAAAGAACCATTCACCCTAGGCATCATTGTGTTTCTTTTGTAGTCCTGCATTTGCATTAGAACTTCTCTTTTTGAACTTATCTTTCGTTTTCCTCAGATTGTTATTTTCTTTTTTTTAAATTCAAGAAATTTCTCTAAACAATTTCTCATGGAAAGAATAAAAAAAAAAAAAAAACACTTAAACTATATGCATGCAGTGGGGAACAATTCTCTCTCTTTTAGGATAGTTACATTTCCTGTTGAGTTGCTCTTTAGTGTCTGCTTTTTCTGTCACTTGATCTTATTGTATCAGATAGCTGCCATTAAGTTCTTGCAGCTTCATAGTAATGAGGACTAACTCATTGAGAAGCTTACTTTGATTCTCATCCTAGTCTGATTGAGGTGCATTGTAGCCTTTCAATCAAGTGTTTGTTCATTCCAATTGAGTTAGGGTAACTATATTATTTTCTTCTTATAAAAAATATTGGATTATATCATGCCAAAAGCTCTTTATATTCTGCGGTGAAAGTAATTTTATGGAAAGTTGCTCATGAGAAACCTGTTATTTTTATAGAGTTTGTCAAGGAGAACAGTTCAGAAACATTGTTGGAGAAAATCAATCTCATCTTATAACAGAAACGGAATATTCTTGGGTGAATATCCTTAATTCTTAGAGCTATCGCTGCTGTTCATTTAATGTTCTCATAACATCTATCTGCTCGTGTAAAATGAAAGAGAATTTGATGAATCATTTTCGAATGAATTCGATTTTTGTTCGATCATTATGCTTAATAAATAATTTTAAATAATATTTTTACATTCATTTATTAAATGAATTAATATGAATAAAAATGTTTGATACGTTTATATATGCAAACAAATTTGTTTAAAATTTATTCGTTCAAGATTTATTTATTATTTTGTAATAATAATAATAATAATAATAATAATAATAATAATAATAAAATTATATTTTTTATTTTAATTTTATTTTAAAATTTGTTTATATTTATTTATGATTTGATTAGGGTTTATTTATTTAAATTTATTTGATTATAATTTATTTATTATTTATGAATATATTTATTTATGTATATTTTTGAATATATTCATTTAATATTTATAAATAAATTTGATAAACTTAAATGAAATGAATACAAATTAATATTTTATCATTTAAATAAATCAAATTTAAATATAAAAAATAATTTTTTTATCAAATATTAATCAATCAATTCGAATAATTTAAAAGTAAACTAACAAGTTATGAATATATATTTATTTGTTAATATCTTATTTACACCCCTTCATCTATCTAACACAAAAAAAAAGGGGTAGAGCAGAAAAAGTTTCGACATAACCCTTCTTAACTGCTAAGTAATCATTAGTAGAGATTTTGATAATTTTCTTTCCATTTGAACTTAAATGCATTTTCATAAAAAATTTTTTCATCTGAATCATCATCAAAATAATCATCCGAAGAATCAGAGGTTGAAGTTGCCACAGTTATGCATTAAATCCTCCTATCTGCACTGTGAATGCACCGTAGAATACCAAATAGAAAACAAAACAAAAAGAAAATAATGCACTGAAGATTCGGTGGAACTTTACTTCCCACTCCAATAATGCATTGAACATGCATAATCCTGGTAACAGAATTGTTAAGCAAAGTGTATTATTCTTCCTCTCTAATATTTCTACTAGGACAGCGGGATGCTGCAGTCTCAAAACAGTTTTGAAGTTTCGAATAAATGACTTATATTTTTCTCATCGCACTGGAACACTTTGCGATGGTATGCCAGGAATTCTCACTCTATAAAACATAGTTTTAAGAGTTCGATTTGAGCAGCTTGTGTTAGTCTCAGATCTCTATCTGTGTACATGGCGAAGCATCCAGGGCGGTATCACAGTATTGGTACTAGGCTGGGGTTGAGTCTCAGCCCCCTTGTTTGTACCTTCTATTGCCTGGAAAGTCCCTCTGAATCAATCATATTAAAACTGGACATTAGCCTGGTTGCATGAGTAATGGAGAAAATACTGCAGTTCAGTAAATCATTTTATTCAAGGAGTTTTCTGGGACAGATTTCTATAACACTTATAGGAAAAAAATAGTTTGTGTAGATAATAACTATGAGCTAGATATGATTAGGGTTGTGTAAACAGAGTCTAGTGTTTCTATGGAACTGATTAAGAAAATAAACTTGTAGGCTTTGCTAAATCTTAGGCAACACTGGTGGGCCAGTGGCAGTTAGCTTTATAGGCAAAATTAAGAAAGGACCAATTGGCTGTTTTTTTTTTTTTTTTTTCTTAATTAAAAGTTTAGGATAAAGGGGGGTTTTTACTTTGAGACTAAGGTCGCATGTTTTATTAAGGATTTACATTATATTTATAAATGGTTCACCCAATTGTTGGTAACAAAAATTAAACCTAATTCTTACAAATGAAGTATTTTATTCTTATAAATTCAATCAATCCCATCGACACTTATTCTTTGTTTAGTAATAGAGAGAAAAAAAAATCGTCCTTAGGATTTTTTTTTTTTTTGCATTACCTTAAGCAAATTATAGAGATGATGTCATTGCATGAGGGATAGCTTTTAATTATGCTATAACCATCCATCTAATCAGTTGGACAAGATTATTAATAATAGCAAATAGAACCCATGGCAAGCTTTGCCTCCATTAATTAACTTCTTTCAAGTAAACATTAAGGTAAAAGAAATGATCAGTGCAAAGAGGGAAAAGCTAGCAAAAAGGAAGAATTAAAGCATGCTAGGAGTAGCTGAGGCAAATAGGCAACCACATATGTAGATAACATATATATATATATATATATATATGCGATGGCTTTCTCAGCTAGCATGAAGATTATAAGAGAAAAAGAGAGAAAGTACCCAATAGTCAAAGAAGGGAATTGTATTGTTGCGGCAGGTTGCGGTGGTGAGTTTTGGGCAAGGTTTTGCTGCTCACATTGTGCATGCTCAGTCGGTATCTTCTCATTTTCTTTGAGCTGTATATCCATGCCAGAAGAATTAATGAAGTCAAAGATGAAACTGGAAACTGCATATTTTGAAGAATACAATGCATGCTTTGGCAGTTTGAGTGTAGAAGCAGTAGTTCTCACCTTTTTTGCTAGCTTGCTGTTCTGGTCTTGCAATGTCTTTTCCTGTCACGAGCTTCGATGTCAAAATAGCATATACCAGATTACTGAGGTTTTTATAAGGAGTTACTTTTGGTTGCCCTTTAACATTATTTATAATGTCTGCTTGTGTTAAAGTAGAAAACTGGGGCAATATTCTTTCATGAAATTTAATTTATATTTTAGAATACAATCCAAGTCATGATAAATGTTTCATCATATGCCAAAGAAGTTCTTACTTTCTTCTGCAGCTCTGAAATGGACTCATTCATGAGTTTATTCTGCATGTCGGAAAAATCATTAGTGAGTACAATAAAGCATTAATGTAAAATGCAACAGAAATGTTCTTAGAATTCATTGAACATGCTTGTTTCACCTTTCTAGTTCGTATGCGCTTCAGAGAATTATGAATTTGTTGTTCCAAAAGTTGCAGGTCCCTTAGACTCAAAGGATCAAGCTCTTCTCCCAGGAACTGCCTGCATGATAAATATAAAATATATGCCTTTTCCTTGAGTTGATTAACTTTCCAGTGAACCCGATCTATCCCTAGAAGCATGTAACTTCATATTCCATGTTGCATATTTATCTAAGGTAACAGGACAAAGCTGATGCTAGGCTTCACTAACAGATCGATTTTGCAACATCAATATGCTTCAACAAGTTTTAGAATTATGGTTTTTAGACAAATATGATGGGCTATAGCCATTCTTTGTAATAAGAATTTATACAAAAATTTTACATAAGTTGATAAGTCTACATAACTGCTGGATAAAAGCAACTTTCAATGTTGTGATCAGTTACATGAAGTTACATTTGTACCTTAAGTTCCTTTGTAAAGATTCAATAGTTGACTTGAGTTTGGGACATTCCAGAGACCAGTTCGCCTGTGTAGCATGCAGAAAAGGATGCAACAATTACTGATTTCATTTTCCTTTTAATCAACAAGAACTAATAATCCAACTACAAATCTCCACCTAAAAGATTTTGACAATTAAAGGAAATTTAAACAACTTGTAATAATGGCTACAAGGTTGCATCAGATACAGTAATAATGATAAAATGAATCCTTTAAGTTTGGTGATAGAACAACCATGTTAAGTGGTATTATCATGTATGTATGTATGTATGTATGTATGTATGGGATACCCAATTGACAGGATACAAACTTTTCAATCTGACATCTGAGAGACAGTAAAGTATCATAGAACATTCCATAGCATCAAAAACATGAGAGGAAATATGAGAGAAAGCAGGAAGGTGCTGACTATAGTTGTTAATAACATCCCAGAAAAAGCTCAATGGCAATGGTTGGGGAATGTATGTAGTGATTACGGGAAAGTGGTGGACGTTTTCATCCCAAAGGAAAGGAGCAGAAATGGAAAATTTGTACGCTTTGCTTCCATTGAAGAAGCTAGGAGGGTGGTCATAGAGATCGATGGTTTTTGGTTTATGAATAAGAAGCTAGGAATCAACATAGCCAGGTTCAACTCTAAAATGTCCTACTGGCATAGATCAGAAAGCAGGAAAGAGGAGGGGCATATTGGTAGAGAAGATATTGATTGGGTGTTTTCTCATGCAGTTGGAAGATCCAAGGGTTTGTTGGCAGTTTGGGAAATGGCCAGCTTTAACAAAATCTCTGTGGTGATTAAACATAGGTTCTTGGTAATTATAGGAAGATGGGTGCAGCACGAGCTTGATTGCAAGATTGCAAATGTTTACGCTCCATGTGTCTTAGAGGAAATGAAAAGACTTTGGGAATATCTGTTGCTAACAAAGGACGAGATAGACGGAAGTTGGTGCATTGTTGGTGACTTCAATACTGTGACGTTCTTGGATGAAAAAAGATGGTGTGCGACATACGGAATTGGAGTAGACAGCTTTAATGATTTCATTCATACAGGAGAGCTGGCTGATATGTATTTAAGTGACAAAAAATTCACATGGTACGGTTCTGGAACAAAAAAGAGTAGGATCGAGCGTTTTCTTATTTTGGCCGAGTGGTTACTAGGCTTTGAGGATCTTTGTCAAAGGGCTCTTAAAAGGTCTATCTTTGACCATTGCCTTCTACTACTATCTTCTGATAAAATTGATTGGGGCCAAGACCCTTTAGGTTCTTAGAATATTGTTGGATGAATAATGAGTTTGGAAAGGAAGTTGCAGAAAAATGGATATCTGATAAAGTTAGAGGCAACCTGGGTTTTAGGTTGAAGACAAAATTGAACAAATTAAAAAAGGCACCTCAACAAGTGGAATAGAGAGGTGTTCGGTTGATTGATGACAGGATCGCCAAACTAGAAGAAAAGATTGAAGAAATGGACAAGGAAGGAGATAGAACGAAACTATCAGAGGAAGAGATTAATACCAAGAAGAAGACTATTCAGGAATTATGGGCAGTAATGAGGAACAAAGAATCCATCTGGAGGCAGAAATTAAGAATCGGGTGGATCAAAGAGGGCGATAGGAACATAAAATTTTTTCACAGCAAAGCAAAAGCAAGAGCGAGAAGGAATTTCATCGGGGGACTGAATATAAATGGGGTCTGGACTTTTGAGTCGAGACTAGTAAAGGCAGCTATTGAGGACTCTTTCGGAAAACGGTTTGTTTGTGAAGGGGGAAACGACCAAAACTGGTGAATATGGACTTTTGCAGATTGAGCCAAGAGGATAATACCATGCTTGAAAGCCTATTTACATTGGAAGAAGTTAAGGGCGCTGTGCGGGATTGTGATGAAACCAAAGAACCGAGCCCGGATGGATTCAATTTAAACTTTTTTAAAAGAAATTGGGCTTCAACATTTCGCACCTTTTATCTTTTATCACCTAGCTTTAGTATTGGAGTTTGTGTTGGAGTTCTATGATTCTAGTAAACTTGAGAAGGGGTTGAATTCATCTTTTATCTCTCTTGTTCGTAAAGTTAACAGCAAAACATTGCTTCAAGAATATTGGTCGATTAGCTTCATTGGATCTTTGTACAAAATGATTACAACTATCATAGGTAATAGACTAAAAATGGTAATGGATAAGGTGATAAGTGATACCCAAAGCTCCTTTATCAGAGGGAGAGATTATGGATGGGATTTTATTAGCCAATGAAGTAATACACAGCATGAAACAAAGGTGGTGTAGTGGAATTTTTTGAGAAAGCTTATGATTATCTGGATTGGAATTTTTTGTTATTAGTGATGAAGATCATCGGTTTTGGGCATAGATGGATAGGCTGGGTAAAAGAGTGCATATCGACTATGAGATTATCAGTTTTGGTTAATAGGTTGCCAACCCCTAAATTTCCAGCAAAAAGAGGCTTGAGACAAGGCGATCCCATGTCTCCCTTTCTATTCCACTTAGCTGAGGAAGTTCTACATAGGATGTTGGTAAAAGTAGAAGATTCAAACCTGATAAAGGGGATAGAAGTGGCCGAATTAGGCTTCAGCATTTCGCACCTTCAATTTGCCGATGATACTACTATCTTCATGGAGAAATGGATGAAGAGAGGAAAGAGCTTAAGAAGAATCTTGAGATGTTTTGAAATGTTATTAGGCCTAAAGATAAACTTCTCCAAGTCTAGAGTTTATCCAGTGGGTGTATGTGTTAATGAAAGCCAACAGATTGGTGACATATTATGGTGTGCTAGAGTGACAAATACCCTTTATGTATCTCGGGATACCTCATAGGAGCAAAAACCCAAGAAGTATTCAGACTTGGAATCCAGTTGTACAGAAAGTGAAGGATAGATTAGCACTCTCGCAGAGAAAATGTCTATCCTTTGGGGGCAGAGTTGCTTTAGTCAATTCAGTGATTAGTTCCCTTCCCCTTTATTACCTATCGGTATTCCAAGCACCTAAGGGGTTATAAAAAGCTTGAGCAATTGAGAAAGACTTTCTTACGGGAAGGTGGAGCCGAGAAAAGGTGCATAGCGAAAGTTAAATGGGCTATAGTGTGTCAACCAAAAAACCTAGGAGGATGGGGAATTATCAGCCATCATCAACAAAAATATTACTCTACTGGGTAAGTGGTGGTGGAGATATGGTGTGGATCAGGAAGCTTTGTGGTAGAGGATGTTAGAGGAAAAATATGGAAGAGAAAAACTTCACTTATTACCTTTTGAAGTTAACAACGAGAGCATGTCGAAAGAATGGAAAGATGTAGTTGAACTTAAAAAGATTGAAAGAGTTGAAAATTTGATTAGGTTAGGAGGTTGTAGATGGATCATAGGAGATGGTTCAAGTGCCCTTTTCTATTTAGATAACTAGGTTGGAGACAAACCATTAAAAGAACTATTCCTTAGATTATTTTCTTTAGCAGTTGAAAAAGTATGTAGCATGGCAGAAGCTTTTGATAATAGATCAAGGGAGTGGACCATTCAATTCAAAAGAAATCTCTTTGATTGGTAAAGACAATTATGGGTGAATCTGCTAGAAAGGGTGGAATCAACAATATTAATAGAAGGAAAGAGAGACTGCATAGTATGGGAAGCTGACAGGAAAGGTGTTTTTTCAGTAAAGCTATTTGCAAGCTCGCTAAACCCTCAGAATCCAAAACTGAAGCAGTAAGTACTATTCATGTCATTTTGGAAATACGATGTACCACCTAAAATACATAACTTCATTTGGTTTGCTATACAAAATCGTATTCATTTGGATTGCTATACAAAATTCTATTCCTACAAAATGCTTTTGAGATCTCGAGGGGTGCCTTTTGAGCGGGGTCAGGTATTGTGCTTATGGTGTTGAACTTGGGAAGAGGACTGTGCATATTCTGATATGCTATTTATCATGGGTGGTATGATGCAAGGTATTCAGTAGGTGAGGGTTAGAATAGGTTGCGCCAAATACTGTTGAGGGATTATTGCGTTTATGTAAGAAAGTAGCCTCGAGGGAACTGAGTAAAAATAAGTGATTGGTGGTGTACAGTTTTATTCTGTGGGCTATTTGGCTTAGAAGAGACGAATCAGGTTTTGATAATAAGAGATGGGATGGAGATGAAACACTCGTTTTGATTAAGTTAAGATCCTTGTTTTGGGAGAAAGCGACTGTAGAATGGGAATTAATAAATGAGTTAGAATGGTGGTTTCTCCATGGATATCAGGTAGAAAGGAAAAACAAGATCCTAGGGAGGGTATTCAATGGCTCTGCCCAGCATCGAATGTTTTGAAATTCAATGTTGATGGCTCGACTAAAGGTAAGCCTAGCTTATCTGGGTGTAGAGGTGTATTGAGAGATTCTAAGAGGGCCATCGGGGATTTATTTTATGGTCCTCTAGGCATTCAAGACTCCAATATGGCAGAGCTATTGGCTGCAAAAAAGGCAATGGAGATGTTTAAGGTCTCATCGTGGTACAAGAAAGAAGCCTTGATTATTGAATCAGATTCCATGGTGGCGGTAGCTTGGATCTGCAATGAGGCAAACAGACATGGAGCTTGTTGAGCATTTTAGAAGAGATTGATAGTTTGAAGGAGAGTATTGGAATGGTGGACTTCGTGCACACTTACAAGGAAGCGAACTCTTTTATAGATTCATTAGCTAGAATGGGTATTGACTCAAATGAGTTTTTCCATGCATGGCTATAATATTCTATTAAAAAGTCTAGTTGTGTTCCAGGACTTGGCATCTGTTGTTAGCTATCTTTGGTGATACATTAAAGGTGGAAAGTTTTGCTAGGACTGCTTTCTGTCAATGACCTCTATTTAGTTGACGAAGATTATTTACCAATGCATCCTATCGTTGGATCTAATATAATTTCTATTTTGGTTGAGCAATATATATATATATATATATATATATATATATATACATATATATTAAGTCTTGGATTTTTACAATCTTGTATTTAAATTGGACCTTTCTATTTAAAGTCAATTGATTTTAAGTTGAATGTGCAACATAATATCGGAACCCAAGTTTGTTCTATTCTTCTTGCCTTGTACCTTTATGAGCTTGTCACAAGGTAGCTCACCTACATTAAGTGGTATTATTTTATATATGTTAAGTCTTAGATTTTTTATGATTTTATTTTTAAGTTGGATCTCCTCACCTATAATCAATTGATTTTTGATTAAATATTTAACAAATCAAAACAAAGAACATTCATGGTTAACTGTCTCTTCTTTGCTATAGTGACTACTTCTATGGTGAACAAATACAGTACAGTAGAGATAAAAATATACAAAACAAAGATTTCTTTAAGTTTTTATGTTTGAGTAGGTGAATGAAGGGGCCATAAGACCTTAACAATGAATTGGTGAAAAAATGAAGATAATAGAGTAGAGATAAACATCTCCACCTTGTTGGGGAGTAAAGAGGGAAGTAGAGTAGTGTTAAATAGCTTGTTTAATCATTATTATCTTTCACCTGAATTTAAAATCATTAGAAAATATGATTTTAGATGGGAAAAGGAACCGTAAGCTCTAATCATCAAAATGGAGTACTCATATCTATGAATATCTCAATCTAATCCTTCTTCCGACTAGAGGGAATTTGAAAAGTGAGGGTTTTAAGGGGTTCAATTCACCTCCCAACCTCCCCTCATATCTCAAATAGAGAAAAGGAAAATTTTATTTCCCACTACTTTCCTTTTTTTTTTTTTCCCATTATATCCAAAGTTCAAACTCCAAAGAGACTTTTTTTTTGGGATATTTAATTAGATTTAGGTAGGGTCGATACAGGATAATTACTTAAAAAATTACGGTGATTTACTATAGTAATTAGAATATTATTGTGCTTGATAATCACTTAATAATCTTTTGTGACGGTGATAGTGATTAGATCATTACCTTAGAAGTGATTTAATTCTCATCCAAAATGGTGAAAAACTTTTATTATTAAAGTGAAGTGATATGTAAAATTAATAATAATCAATATTACTTATTTAATATGTGAATTAAAATCTTTCTTATTCTTTAAATCAATTGTAATTATTTTATATTATAGTTTTTTATGTTTTCAAACTAATATTCATTGTAATAAATTCAAAAATATTTTGAGTATTTTTTAATTTTTAAAATTTATTTATACTATAATCCTTTAATTTTTATATATTAGTTTTATTTTCAAATTCAAATATATTTTACATAAGTTATACTATAAAAATTAATTTACTATCAATAAATATATTTTTAATTTAATAATTTAATAATATTTATTTTGAAGCAAATAAAATATGATTAATATTTATATACAAATTATTATTTTTAAATAATACTAAAATTATTAATTTGTGTAACTATTATAATGTGTATGGTTGTTTTGATGCTTTCAAATAAAATAATGTTTGATTTTTAATAATACCAAATATAGTAATATTTAATTACTAAGAATTAATGATTCTTAATCAAATAAAGTGATTTCAAGTTACTGAGTGATAAGATTATCTTAATATGGTAATCTTGAAAATGATATCAAATAGTATCTTAGTATATATGCAATATGTGTAATACAATGTATATACATTCTATTATAATATAATCACATGGACACCTTAGCTTGACAATTTTTGCAACAGAATACAATATTTATGTGACAATGTACATGCTGTAAAACGTGATTTGCTGTAAGACATACCTGTGATTCAGAATCATTTGAGATAAGCTGTCTCTCTGCATATGAATGTTGTTCGTGTCGTTCTAGGATTCTTTCGATGCTGTAATCAGAATAAAAGTTAATCAAGCAAAAGACTGTATAGAAGAACTCTACGTATTGAATCCAGTTAACTAATTAGACTTAATGCAAAATTCAACCGGAAAACCCGCACTTTCAGTACATGAATATTGTCATTAAGTATTATGAATGCTTTTATTAGGATTCTGTATATTGAATTTATAATAAAACAAATAAATATGAACTTCTAATTTTCCTGATATCTTTCACAAATGTGCATCTCACTAAATTCATAGACTTATCAACAGTCCAAAACCTAACAAAGTAATTAAAGATAGAACACTGATGGCAACTAGTTAGAGAAACAGTCCCCTTAACTATGTTAATGATTAGAAGTTAGGTTGACCCATACTCAATTTACGAGATAATCCAAAAATATTTGTTCTATAGAAAATGCTTTACAAGTATAATTTAAAATCTTTACATATATACTATAACGGATCCTCAGAATACTTCAATGTAGGATTGGAGTGTTATGATTAGTTTAGCTAGTAATTAGAGACTTTTGATGGTTATGTCAACCTCAATCCTAAATGTATGAAATGTTCAGAGGTTTATGGGAGAAAAGATGGTTGTTTCTCATTGCATAGTCTAATCATGGGACAAAAATGAAAAAGTAGAAAGGAAAAAGGAAAAAAAAGTATGCTTGACATCAATATCAGAATAGATAAATATTTACCATTAAAGCTTATTGCAAAAATAGAAGCTAGCAGTCTCTTCTAAATGTTGGCATCAATATCAAAAGTAATCCAACATTCATTACTTAAGATGGAGAAAAAAAAACTCCTAAAATTAGACCACTATATTTGCCAAATGCCATGAACATCAAAAACCTATACCATATTTAGCAATAACTAGTAGTAAATTAACGTTACCATTGGTATAGATCAAGCTGCTATTCACTTGCATCCCTAACCCTAATTTATTTTTACTAGGAACAAATAGTGTATTTATTTTTGTGGGGAATTGTAAAAGGATATTTCAAACACAAAGAGCAAGAGTACATATATAAATAAATAAATAAATATATATAATATATATATAAGAAAATAATGCACTCACTTTCATATCATCCATAAAGAGATGTTGACTTTTATAATGTTGCAGTGACTTTTATAATGTTGCATATGTTGACCTTTTGATATAGTATAAAAAGTCTTTTGTTGCAATAAATTATTACAAACTGAACCTTGCAAAAGAGTATGCAGAAATTGCTATAAAAAGAAATTGAAATCAAATTTAAATTGCTGCAAATAGTGGCACTGCAAAAACATTAGTAGCAATTTTTATGCATGCTTTCTTATTGCAAACTGTAGTAAGACCTTTTATACTGCAGAAAGTCTAATTTACAACATGATATAAAATTTTCTTTGCCCAATGTTAAACTCCTTGTAGTGATATATCCATAATGTAAAAGCTCCAACAACTTCTATATATGTTCATTCCATCATTGGCTAGCGTTTTAATGCAAGGTTGGAGCAGAACTAGACGTTTTTGTGCAGCCATTGAAATATTATGTCTCATGCAAGGTTTCACAACTATATCTCTGTCAGAAGTTATTGAGATGAGATGAACTTCATTCTGCTTGTTGGCATATTCGATCTTTACTGAAAACTTAGATTTGCAAAGTAAATAAAGCATTGTTTTAGGGTCTACTTTCTGCTTTAACGGTATTCACTTTTTAAATTGGAGAAATTTATAATCATATCCGTTATTTTTCATTTATTTTTGAAGGCCTGAAATTGTTTGGCTCACAGGATTTGAAGATTCTTACTCTCATGGTTTGCGTAATTGATAAGAATTGAAGTTGGTATCAAATCTGCAGACCTATAGTTCTTGGTAAGTTAAGTTGATTGTTTTCAACAATATTCAATATTTGATTTATAGTACTTCCACAGCTACATCAAGCACATGATATTCAAGAACCAATGGAAGGAAAAATAATCATAAATCTGATCACTAAAAATTTGCATGACAGTTTTTGAGAACTCCTACTAATTAGATGCTACTACTAACAAATAAAAAAAAGTTTTTGAGCCAAATGGAAGAACAAATTGTAGAGTGTCTCATTGGAAGATCTATGTCAGAAAGGGTTGTAGAAGTCGATCTCTGAGTGCTATCATAACTTACTATCAACGAACGGTGTCTCATTGGAAGATCTATGTCAGAAAGGATGTGGGACATTGTTTATCGATTGATTCATACAGTGAGGAGTTGAAAGAAGTACCTATATATGACCAATGTATTGAGGGTAGTTGATGGGATGGCCGACACGTTGGCCAAAGAGGGAGTGGATCGCATGGAATTGTTTAGTGTATGGTGGTAATAGATTGGTGCACTCGGGGTATTTGAGTTAGCATGTCAGGGATATATCTGGTGTAATTAGATAAGGTGTATGGGATATATCTGGTGTAATTAGATAAGGTGTATGTTAACTGCTGTGTGATTTTCTAAATGATTAATAAAAGCTTCATTGACTTGGCCAATAAAAATAAATAAAAGAAGTTTTTACATATTCTAGCAAATAAAAAAATAATAAAAAAAAATTTTAATGGCCAAACTTTATGAGGAATGAACTATAAAAATATAGAGTTCTAAGAAAATTTACTCAACCTCAAGACTCAAAAACTACTGAAAATGCAAGGAATCCTACATTTTCAACCCTTTGGTTTATGACTTTAATTTCTTGAGTATTTTGCTGGTAAACCTCATTTCCTTCTGCAGTTACCTAGTTGGAAACTCCATGATTACATTATTATATATAGGACGGTTCTTGGGTAATTATATCTATATATATCTTCATAAAGTTAATGGAAATGACTAAAGCAGTGCCATATTCAAGAAATTAGGCTACTTTTTCCACTATCCTCAGTGCATATGAATTATTATCTTTTAAATCTTTAAGATCTTTCAGCTTATAATAATTCATGTAATTATGAACAAATATGCTTGAGCACTCAAGTCCAATGAATTCACTGCATAATTAGATCACTTTACCTAACCTTATTTAAAATTCTTTCTGGAGTTACATTTCACTTATGGAAAATGGAATATAGGAGGAAAACAACAAAAATCAACAATGCTTTGCTTGGGAGGGTGGATAGAAAAATAAAAAGAAGAAAAATTGGAAAAGGAGAAAAAAATGGAAAAGGAGAAAAAAATGGAAAATATTTTTTTTATTGGTTTACTTGGTTGGAAAGATGGAAAAGTTTAAAGAAGATGTAATTTCTTTTCATCCATTATTTGGTAGAGTTGAAAAATGAAAAGAAAGAAAATGAAAATTTTATGATTTTACCATCATAACCTTTTTGAAAATTAAGAAGTAAAGAAAAATTTTAATATGATGGACAATCTTGTAAATATGCAGCACATTCTTATATATCTCTCATTTTTTTTTTCAATTTAGAATGATTTATATTTGTGAATAAATGTGAAAAATAATTATTTTTTCTATTTTCTTTCCTCTCACTTTCTTTTCTATCAAACTCACTTAAATTTTTTTTTCTTTTCACTTTTCATCCTCCCTTATAAATCCTTTCACTTTTCCCAGATCTACCAAGCACACCCTGAATAAACATCTTTAGAACAAAGTCAAATGAAAATTTAAAAATTTAATTAAGTGAAATATAATAATATATTAGACACAACTAAACCATTGTCACTTGGTAAATATTTTAAGTAAAAACATAAAATAGCAGTAGCATTCCCCTAGCTAGTTAACAACGGTTATTTTATTTTAAAAAATAAACTAGCTAGTGGCTAGTATTGCTAAATTGAAAGATGAATGCAGAAATTGAAAATAACAAAGTTGCATAGCTTTCCTCACTTTCCCTACATATAATGCCCTATGGACATAGCTAATATCATTAGGAGACAATCTCCAAGGTGAATCAACAACAAATTCCAATATCCTAGGTTAAAGTTTAAATGCAAAGGACATGAACAAAAATTGCAATAACACCAAGCCCTATATGACACAAAGCTCTAGGAAATTTGCCAAAACTTGATTCTTCAAAGTTGAATTAATGTGGTCTTAACCAATATTTTGCATAACCCCAAAATTAAAGGGTACTGTCATTAGCATTAACCTAAGCAAAATCATTCAAGGATCTGTTACTTCACAATTTCCTTTTAAACTTCTATACATTAACACACAAGTATCAAGCATAACAAATTAATAAAAAACAATAAAATTAAGACTTAACACACAGATTAGCATTTTTCACATCTGATCTGACAAATCAGTACAAAAAAATTTTTCATGTCATAAAATCTCAACAAATTAACAAAACAAAAATTACGTTGTTTAACAAAAGGAAGAGACATATATACACACACACACACACACACACTAAACTTGACACTTCAAAGTTAAATTAATCTGGTTTAACAAATTATTCGTAGCCAAAATTAGGGGGTACTGTCATTGGCATTATCATAAGCAAAAGCATCCCATGATCTGCAACTTAATAGTTTGCTGTTAAACTTCTATGAAAATACAAATATATATCGAGCATAAAAAAGGCAATAAAATTAAGACTAAACACAGATTATTAGAGATGTTAGACAACATATAACATATTTCACTTTTGATCTGACGAACGAATACAGAACTTTTATGTCATAAAATCTGAACAAACAAGCAAAACAAAAAAATATAGCAAATTCTTTAACTAAAGAAATGACTTATGAAAAAAGTCCCATGTTTATTCATTTTTCCCTTAGCCTTTTCGAAGTGTTTATATGAGAGACAAATCAAATAATATCAGAAAACTGAAGATTTTGGTGTAATGCAAGGTATGAACAGTGTAATAATGAACAAAAAGCAGGAAAATGACAAAGACCCAGAACTTAAAAACAATCAAATTTGAAAATATATATAAACATGCAATAAGAAGCAAAACTAAGAGATTAAAAAAGGGTAAATTAAAGCAGTTGAAATAATTAATATTTGTAAAACCTGGAATCAGATGAGTACTCAAAGAGCTTCCCTCTGTTAGAGAAAACAATCAAAGCAACCTCAGCATCACATAACACTGAGATCTCATGAGCTTTCTTTAGCAAACCAGTTCTCCTCTTGGAAAAAGTTACTTGTCTGCTAATCTTGTTCTCGATCCGCCTTAGCTGAACCCTACCTCTCCCCATTTTTTTTCCCACTGCTCAAAAAAGAAAGAAAAGAAAAAGTAAAAATTTTCTTACTCGACAAACAAACAACAGCTCAAGAAACCCTAAAGATATGAGTTAATCAATAAATATCTTTTGTTGCGCTTTCTTTTCACAAAGGGAAAAGAAAACATGAAACTGATACAAAAATGGATATGGGTTTCTAAAGCAAAGGCTTGGATTTACCATACATACATACACACATATATATATATATATATATATATATATATGAAAAGGAAAGGATAGGAAATGGGGTAGGCAAAATGCGGTGGATTATTATTTTATGTTACGGGCCTTTATTGTAAGAGAAAAGAGGAAATATAGGAGGAAGTACTTAGGTTTAGAGGGTAATATGTTGTCGAGAGATGATTGGTGGAAAGACTGAAACAGTCGTTACTGTCTGGTTTTGACCTACCGCTTTTGGTTTTATGAGACTGAAAGAGCCCAGCAACGTGTCCGTACATTTTGTTTTTTTGTATTTGTCAGCAATATTGCGATTTGTGTGGGACCAATGAAGAGTGATGTGTCTTGTTTTGGTTGACGGCGCTTCAGGCTTTCAGCTTCCAGTCCCAACCATGTTGTTTCTTCTCCCACTGCCTCTTTCACTTGCCATAATTGCAACATGTCTTTGCGTTGGTACTCATCTAGTCGTCTTCACTTACTTTTCCTTCAGCCCAATTACTTCATGCTTTTTAGCTATTTTCATCATCTTTATTAAGCTTTTATGGGTTGAAGACGTATGATGATCATGAACGATGGCAACACAGGCGGTTTGGAACGGTTTTTTCTCGTTCAAAATTTGATCCAATATTTTTTTTAACATTTTCATTTTTAATTTACAACTAACTTTACTCGACTTAAATTTTATTTTATATACCATTTATGAAGATTTTATTTTTTTTAATATATATTACATGTAATTATTTTAAAAATATTATGTTATCAAGTTTATCTACCAAATTAGTTTTAGATAATACTCAAGTCATGAATGTGCACTGGGAATATTGATACTTAAACCTTAGATCATTAATTATTGAGATGAAAACTGATCAACTGGTGAAGCAACCCTCATACATGTGTATGTTCTTTTCTTTTCTGTCAAACGTCACCTGATGGTAAATAACTCATTTTCAATTAATTCCAATGCATTCTCGGCTGGATACAAAATTTTCCTTTTCAGAAAAATTAAAATCAGGATGAAGGGATTAGATAACATAATATTTTTACTAATTTGGGAGATAAATGAATTTAGTATCAATATTCCCAGTGCATATTCACAACTTTCGTATCAGCTACATACTTTTTTAATTTTTCGAATGAATTTTTCACCGTATCATTACTAACACTAATGTCATCATGAGCAGTATCATTCATGCCTAAAACTACATGATTAAAATCAATGGATTTCATTTAATAAAAATAGTTATATAAACCAAATAAATTTTTTAAAAAATCTGTAAATCCACCACTTTTTTCCTTATCTATGTACCTTTCAAGTTTCAATCAATCATTTCTTTACTTTCTTTTTCCTTCCTATGAAACGTTATATTTAGTGAAACTCGTATGAAATAATTTTACAATAACAATTAACAATTCTAATGATCAAATACACAAAAAAGATAAACAAGAATTCAAATGCAAAGACTTTCACATTTTACTTATATATTTTTAGATTTTCATTAATCATTCTTAAATCTATTTAAAGAGTTTAGATATGTGAAATTGAGAAGATGGCATCATGTTCCTTTTCCCCCGAAGAGTAATAATGATATCAAACTTTTATATTTTAATTGATCAAGAAAATGCTAGTACTAAAAAACAAAAGAAAAGGGTTATGCATAATTAGAGAGTGATTGTTTCCCATTTTCTAATTGTTATCACTTTTATTTATTTTAAAAAATCAAAATAGTATTGCATCATTCATATTTCTATGTATTTCTAATTGGACAAAAGGTGAAAACTTGATAGCTGCTAATAAATAAATTTCATTGATTGTGTCACCTTGTTAACTAACCCTAAGTATAGAGTTTAAAAATTTTATTGACAGTAATAATGATTTCTTATGTTAGTGGAAAGAGAATTTGATAAAAAAGATGATTGTGATTTGGGAGTTGTAGGCAAATTAAATATACCCTAATACCCATTTGGAAACAATATGTAATTTATACTCAACAATAAAAAAAAAAAATTCTAAATGCTTGTGAGTGACTAATTATTCCTTCTTTCATTAGATATTTTATTCTTTATATATAAACATATATGCCTAATACAATTCTTGGATTTTTTTTTAATTTTTTCTGTTTGAAAATAAATTTATATAAGAGTTTTCTTCTAAATCTTTTTTTTAAAAAATAAATTGTATGCATGTTTATAGTTTATAAAGAAGGAATAATTATGATTTCATGCCTATTCTCTATTTCATCTGTTCCTCTAGAAGAAAATCCAATATTTAGCTACTCATTGAGAATTTAAAAAATAATAATGTACTATTATTTTTTTAAAATTAGAATATTTTGAAATGTTTATGACTGATCCTTGTTGAATTTCCACACTTTGGCATCAGTTGCTAGGGATTTTAATAAGTTAGGCCAGTTGAGTTGACTATTGATTTTGATGATTGTGATTAATTCTTCATGGATTTATATTACAAACAAAAAATAAATTTGTTAAAAAAAAAAAGAAAAAAAAAAGAAAGAGACAGATTTAATACCCATGCAAATACAAAATTTTTATAATTTTAAAAGAAAAAAAATATAATCTAATTAAGTTTTTCTGCCCTGTTAATAGCTAAAGTAATTATCTATGAAGATAAGGGGATAAATTTATTTCGGTTTTTTTTCCTAAAAATTATTCAATTAAGTACAAAATTTATAATTCTAAAAATTCCAATATCCTCTTTATACACTATTTAATTGGAAAAATTAAATAAGTAAAATCTGTTTAGTTGTATTTTAATATTTTCTCATCTGCCTTGACGCTTGCAAAACTGCAGGGGCTAGACTATCAGTACTGTAAGCTCCAGCTTAATAAATTTCTTGTTGGCCTCAAAACAATCACTGTTTTTTTTTTGTTTCTTTTTTTCTTTTCTGGATACCCTCAAAACAATGGCTGAAAAAAAAAGAAACTCTTTTGTACTACCACATAATTATTTTGAGTGCAAATGGCAACTTTTTTGTTAGCAAATTAAACTTTATTCCTTTACTTATATTATAAAACTTAAATTTTCCCCAGAACAAATGAATAATGAGCATTATATTATTGCTCAGGTTTTTATTGTGTTGATGGTACCAAAAAATAAACAAAAGGAAAAAATCATCATATTCCCCACTGTCCAAAGAGAAAAAAGAAAAAACCCAAAGCTTTTATAACAACAATATAAAAAGTTTAAAATGCAGCAGAAAACTTGTTTTCTGAGTTTTTTCCCAATGCAATAGCCAATAGGATTACAGACTAAATTGTTGTTTAATATATTTAGGCTTAGCAATCTGTGTATATCGATTTCTATTGAGCTAGACTGCTGGATATATTTAATTCTATTGTT